TACTAAAACCAGAAAATAAATGATAACAACAAAATAATTTTATTTTCCTTGTTACTAAAACTAGAAAATAATATAATTTTATTTTTCTTGTTACTAAAACTAGAAAAATAAAATACCAAAATAATTTTTTGTAACACCAAATAATATTCTGTAATTGTTAATGACACCAGTATATTACTACTAGTTGTCAAAGAAAAGAGACAGTATATTATTACTATCTGTCAAATAGCATAAATCACTATTTATTTTTCCAACTAGAATATTACTTTGAAAACACAGAAATTAAATACAATGAAGATACCAAAAACAAAAAAATGTTCTGTCTTAAGATTGTTGGACAATCTTCACTGTATTTAAAAAGAATAAATTCTATTGTGTACAAAACAACAACTAGAATATTAAGAAATAAAGAAAATGAGAGAATATGTTTGATTACAAAAATCAAACTCGAAATAAAAATAAATAAATAAAAACAGATTTTATTTTGTTACAAAAACAAAATTAAAATCTGATTTAAATTAATAATAAAACAGAATAATAAATTAAACAACTTACTTGATTAATTTATTTGAATAATTATCTGATCAAGTCCAGTGTTTGACACTGTGTCCTTAAGACAGATTCGTCATCTCCACGGTACTTTCAGAATTTGGACGTCTATCTCCCAAGATAAAATGATCTACTACAAACAATAGCAGCACTACAAATTGTTTGCCTAACGAACACACTAAGTGTTTATACTCTTTCTGACAAGAAAATAATGCAGCAAAATGAAGAGGATGTTTGCAGAATTATGAAAGACGAAAATTTGAGTTACAAAATCCAAATGAGGATTGTCCTATTTATAGATGTAATGGTGGCTGTAGGTTTTGAATTGAATAGGTATGAAACCTGTTGGTTTTGAATTCAAACAGATTTGAATCTGTTGGATTACAATTCAAACAGATAACAAAATGGGAAGGGCCTTGTTTGGGTGTACAATAAATCCGGATCAGATTATTTCCGGTTTAATACGGGAAGGGCCCTATTTGGATGTACAGAAAAACCAAATCAGTTTAATTTGAATTTTGGATTTTATTTTACCAAAAATAAAATTAAATTCAAATGTTTTTGACCCAAAAAAATTAGTATTGGGCCGGACAAGCCCAACCCAACCTCACACCCTGCGCCCAAGCCCAGCCCGCCCGAACGAACAGCGGCGTTGTGTGGTGATTTTTGGGTCCAATGGGTCTAGCCCATAACCTCTCCTTCTAAAACACTTGGGTGCCCATTGGGGCACACCCCAAGTACCAAACCCAAGCCTTATAAATCCATTCAAAACCTCTCACCAAATCAATGTGGGACAAGCCATTTTACAATCTTAAAGAATTTCCACCAAAACTCCATTTCCATGGAGCACACTTTGGTTTCAATTTTCCATTCACTCGGTAATGGTTTTGAGCAACCAAATATACCACGTGAATCACAACGCGACATAGAACGCGTTACCACTTTGACCAGTGAAAATCGACGCACGGAACCCACCTAAAAAATAGACCAAACTTAAGAAAAAATTCTGATTTTATCCAGAATTTTATAACCATTTCTAACCGTAGCAACTCCTTGCATTGGTTTGTCAGTATAGTTTCTTTTGTGGATAATGACCTTGGTAACGAGGCTAGATTGGACAGAAATTGAGAGAAATTTTGTGTTAGAACTCACTTTTTGAATCTTTCGAAAATTGAAGAGCTTTGGTGAGGATGGAGATTGAGTTTATATATATAGATGTATTTTGAGTTTATATATATATATATATATATATATATATATAACTTGGTATCTAGTTCAAGAGACTCTAATCTGAGGACCAATCCTACCGTTAATTAGCGAGACCCAAACTATCAATTTTACTTTCACTTTATATATATATCTAAGTGATTTCATTTTCGTCCCTCTTACTCACATGATATGCCTTTATTTATTTTTATTTTCTATCCTTCATTTTTTTCCCCCCAAACAATAGTAAAGGATAGTTTAATTTATTCTCTTTATTTCTCAACTAATTTATACAAATAAAATGGAGAAATACTATTATCAATTAATTTCAATTAATTTTTTATTTTATGTTATTTAAGTTTTCCACATGAACTGTTACAAGAAAGGCTGACCAATTTAAATGCCTTGAGAGGGTTCAATTTTGAATATAATTTCAATTGTTTTCAATTAAAAAATTTGTAAAATGGAAATTAAAAAAATAAAACAATTCATGCCTCATGTTTTAAGCAGTTTAGACAATATGAAAATGGTATGGGAGATTGAAAAATCTAAAGTGACATGAGATGAATAATTTAAAAAGAATTTTTAGTTTTTCCTGTGGCGCCTATGGGTATTATTTTAATAATCTATTTTGTTTATTTTTTAAGTTTTGCTTGTATATTATTATTAGAAAAGAAGATAGATTAATTTAAAATTTCAACTATATAATTTAGGACACTGGCAAAAGGTTTATTTTAAATTTTTTGGGCCAATAGACTCAAACTTAAATATTTTTGGATAAAAAAAAATTATTTGTCCAAAATGACACTGTTCAAAGTTTACATATATATTTATTTGTTTAAATGTCACTTATTTTTACACGTGTCACTTATATGTCTAACTATCTGTTTAAATTTATATATGTGTCACTTATCTGTCCAATTATACATTCAAATGTGTACACGAGTCATCTATTTATTTACCTATCTGTTCAATATCACTTATCTGTCCATCTCACCGTCACTAACTACTGGAGACTTTCCAAAGACTTTTCCGGCGACTTTTCAACACTTGTCTTTATCATAAAAAAAGATTAAATATTGAAAATAATAACATATAACCACATAGAAATGGATTCTTCACCAATTAACTTATAATTTTATGATTTTTATCTTTATAAAAGTGGGCAATAAATATGACTTTTAAAAAACTAACTTTTATTTTTAAAAACAAATATAATAATATAATATAATATAATTACAATTAAAACTTAAAAAATAAACATGATAAATTATTTAAGTGAGAATCCTGATAAATGGCTGGAGTTTGGGGAGTAAATTTGGCCCGGCCTGGTCCAGCCCATGTTGGGCCTCGCGGGCTCCAGCCAAAATTCGGGCCGAGCTAGAAAACTAGGCCCAGGCTCAGGTCCATGGGCGAGTTGGGCTAGCTCGGTGGGCCTGGGTCTTAGTTCGGACTTTGGTTGGACTTGAACATTTTTTCTTATTTTTTTCAATTTTTTTCATCAAAATTTTGTTTTTTTCTATGAAAAATAACACTAGGTCTCGGGCTGGCCGGGCTTTGAGTGGGCCTTGAGCTGGGCCGATAGGCCGAGACCCAGGGTTCCGGACTGGGCTCGGGCCCGGACTACGATCGGGTTTCAGACCGCCCAATGACCGTGGGCCATTTTTATACTCCTATCCGAAGTTATGTTCATTAAAATATGTTATCAATTTATTTAATTTAAATAAGTATATAACTTTTCATAGAGTATGTAAACAATGGAGAATTTTATAGTCCACACTATAAAAAGGTATGTATTATATGTCTCAATAATAAGTTTTGTGGTTTTGTTTATGACATATTATGTATAAGTGATAATTTGGTTATGATTTTTGTGGTGATAGTTATGATTCACTATAATGTTAGTTATGATATTATTCTTTTTTTAGTGATGATCTAAAATATTTTTAGTTATACCTCGTGTGGCATTTAGTTATAACTCATTTTTTTAGGGACAATTACCCACCCCCCAAAAAAAATCACATAATTTGAACTTTCTAACAAAATAAATCATATTTTCAATTTTATCAATTTAAACCCTAATATTTTAATTTATTTTTAATCTAAATCATTGATCTATTTTTGTTAAGTAAAATTAACAACAAAAGAGTACTTTAGTTATTAAATTCAATGTATCTACATAATATCTAAAATACCATTTTTCATTAATTTTCAAAAAAAATTTTTAGAAAATATTTTTCATAGGAAATATTTTCCTATGTTTGATTTCAATCTTGAAATTAGTGCACCAATAGTTGCATTAGTAGTGATGGCGATGCGGTAGAAGTAGAGGTGGATGCGGTAGAAGTAGAGGTGGTGGTGATGGTGGAGATAGAGGTGGAGGTGTTGAGGTGGTGGTGGCAAAGGCGGTAGTGGTGATAGTAATAGGGTAGAGGTGGTAGTGGTGGCCGTGGAGGTGATGGCAGCAACGACGGTGATGGCGGTGTGATGGTGGTGATAACGTGGTGGCATTGGTAAAAATTTAGTTTAAAAAATATTTTTTACTTTTTAGAAGTATAAAATATTTTTTGTTAACTTTTGTTTTCCATCATACAAACGCTAGAAAATACGAAAAATATTTTCTGGAAAACGTTTTCTACAAAAACAAACAAAACATAAGTTTAATGACTAAAATACTCAATTTTTTTTTATATTGATGTTAACGAAAATAGTCAATGATTTAAAATTAAAAACAAATCAAATATTTAAGAGCTAAATTAATAAAATAAAAAATTTCGAGTTTATTTTGTTAAAATTATCAAACTCTGAAAACCTTTTTTTTTAATTTTTAATTTCTACTTTTTTTTAAAAAAAATTATGACTTAAAAAAAGATTTGTAACATTACTCGTCAAAAATAATTAATCTGAAAAACACAAACTTCATACAAATCTGACAAGTGCAAAATTCATCTCTCTCTCTCTCTCTCTCTCTCTGTTACTTTTTTTTTTTTTTACTGTTTGTAATCTACATTTCCCTCCAAAAGGTTGTTCTGTTACCAGGCAATGGTTCTACCATGAAAATACAGCTGAAACAAAACCTAAAAACCTCAACCAACATTTGGCAATGGACCATACACTTAATCATTCGCACACATTCAATCTCAGTACTCACAAACAATTCTACAACTCAAATACCAGAATTAGGACACACCCATTTGATGAAATTGCTCTCAAATCACACCCACACGAATCAAATTCTCAGCCAAATGATCGTCAACAGCATACCCATCAACCAATTCTCTTTCATGAAACTTATAGACAGCTCTGTATCTTCATATGGGTTTGCTTCCTCTGCCCATCTCTTCACACAGTTCCATGATTTTATTGATTCTGAGTTCTGTAATTCTCTCGTAAGGACTTATACACACTTGAATAAGCATATACATTCAGTTTTTGTGTATACCCAGATGCGTAAAGCTGAGATTTTTCCTGATTTTTCTACTTTTCCGGCTGTTCTGAAGTCGGTTGCTCAGTTGGGCCGTGGAGACATTGGAAAATCAATACATTGTTGTGTAGTTAAAATGGGTTTTTTCTCAGATATCATTACAAACACTGCTGTTGTTCATATGTACTGCACTTGTTTACTTCCTAGTGAGGGTCGTCAGTTGTTTGATGAAATGCCTGAGAGAAATGCAGTTTCGTGGAATGCATTGATAACGGGTTATACCCATAACAGGAAATTCAGAGAAGCGATTGATGTGTACCGAGAGATGCAAGCTGCTGGGGCCGAGCCCGGAGAGGTCACCATGGTTGGGGTTCTATCAGCCTGTGCCCATTTGGGTGCATTAAATCAAGGAAAGTGGATTCATGATTATATTTGTCATAATAGATTGAGATTGAATGTGTTTGTCGGTACTGCTCTTTTAGATATGTATGCTAAATGCGGGGTTGTTGATGAGGCAGAGAAAGTTTTCGGTGCTATGAGAGTGAAGAATGTCTATACATGGAATGTTTTAATTTCTGGGTATGCCATGAATGGACAAGGTGAAGCTGCTCTACAGGCCTTCAATAGGATGATAATGGAGAATTTTAGGCCTGATGAGATTACCTTTTTGGGTATTTTGTGTGCTTGTTGTCACCAAGGCCTTGTTGACATAGGTAAGAGGCATTTCATAAGTATGAAAGAAGAGTACGCGTTGCAGCCAAGGATTGAGCATTACGGATGCATGGTTGATCTACTTGGTCGAGCAGGGCTCTTGGATGAAGCTCAGGAGCTAATCGGCACCATGAACAGGAAACCAGACCCCATCATTTGGAGGGCTTTGTTGGGTGCGTGTCGAATCCATGGACAGACCCAATTGGGTGAGTTTGCAATCAAAAACCTTCTTGAACTAGAGCCAAAAAATGGGGAGAATTACGTGTTGCTATCAAATCTATATGCTCGAGATCGTAAGTGGATTGAAGTTGGAAAAGTGCGGGAAATGATGAATCGCATAGGCATTCGAAAGGTCCCTGGTTGCAGTTCAATTGAGATTGAAAATGTGGTTTATGAGTTTGTGGTATCAGATCTTATGGAACCAAGATATGAGGAGCTCTATAAGTCATTGGCTGATATGAAAATGGAATTGAAAGTAGTTGGTTATGCTGTATATACTGACATGGTTTCTTATGATATTGAGGAAGAAGAGAAGGAACATACTTTGATATATCATAGTGAGAAGCTTGCATTGGCATTTGGGCTTTTAAAATCATCAGCCGATATGACTTTAAGGATAATGAATAATCTGAGGATTTGTCAGGACTGCCACCAGTTTTTTAAGCTTGTTTCAATGTTGTATAGAAGGGAAATTACCGTTAGAGATAGAAACCGGTTCCACCATTTCCGTGGTGGTGTTTGTTCTTGCAAAGATTATTGGTGATTCATTGATTTTGTTCCAAGTTTTTCACAAGTGCTCGCTCTTGATTCTAATTTTCTATACTTAAAAATTGATGGCGGAGCCAATTGTGATATTGTGGAGGATCCAACATTCATGACTTTGTATAAAGATCTAACCTACAGCTATTATTTTTCCTGGTAAGTTTTCTGAATGAACGGTATGGCATGCTTGCAACAAATCAAAACATGTTGCTTAGAATTCCTTTTATTCTCAGTTTCAGATTATATTACTAATTAGATGACTCATTTGATAGGAAAGAGTTCAATTTATTTTGTGTTGGGTTAGAGTATAATAGTAGACTATGGGTGTGGGGTCAATTTAAAGTTGCATCTTTGGATTATTCATGTAGCATTACTATCTACATCTGGATCTCTCATCAAAGTTGATGATATTCTTTTGTTTCTACCTTTTATTTTTATTTTGCTTTGAAATTGCTTATTATCCGTAAGAGTGTTTCTTTAAATGTAGAGAAAAGTTTAATAGTTCGAAATGTTTGTCAGCAAACTAAAAAAAACACTGCAGTTTGCAGCCATGATGGCAATTTGATTTGTGAACTATATAGCTTGAGAGACCCACGAGGACTGGAAATGAGTGAAAATCATAAGTGCTTTTATGTCATGTTGATCGCTGCATAATTTTAGTAACATTTGATTTGAAGCACTAGTGCCCGAACTTTCAGGTTGATAATACTTCTTCCTTATTTGAAAATAAATTTCCTACTTTCTATCTCATTATTCATCACTTTCAAACTATGAAATTTCCAGATCTATAATCAGGTGATCTGTTTGGCGTGATGTGTGTGACATGCCGCTCGGATGTTTTTGCTCAAACAAATGAGTGTGAAAGGGTTAGAGCAATCTTTTGTGTGTGTTATTCGAGTGAGCAACTCTTGCAATGAAAATTATATACCTAACTTGCAAATAATAAACACATGATGGACACTTAAACCTTTGATCATGCATGATGAGCAGCTGACTATAGAATATAAAGAGCTTTGGGAGGTAGATAACCATGTATACACTATGATTATGTTCTAAATAAAATTAAAGTATTTTGGCAACAATACAACGTGATATTAGAGGAAACTAAAATTATTGTGATATCACTCTTACGAATCTCATCCGGTTTATGTTTTACATGTTAGAAAGTATGAAGGTCCAAAGAGAGATATATATTAAAAAAGGTAAATTTTATCTCATGACCACTTTATCTGTTTGTGTTTTAAAAATAGTAGATTTTTATGAAATTCAGCCAAAATTTGCAAATTTATTAAATTAGATCCGTGATTTCTTTTTATTAAATAAACTGAAAGGCTCAATCGCATAACGTGTTAGAAAATTCAAGTTTCACACATGCAAATGCCTATAATAAACCAAGACACATAAAAAATACTTATAACATAAAAAATATATAACTACTTAGTAAAACAAATATTGGCTTAGAGTATACTATAAATATTTAATAATAATAAAAATAATCATATTAAAATATAAAAATACTTTCAATTTTACAAATTTTGAAAATTGATATTATTGCGATCTTGCATTGCTCGCACTCGGAAGTCAAACACCTCATGTGCTAACTTAAATTACTAACCCTTCCTCTTCCCCACCTTTCTCATGAAATTTTACCCTCCCTCTTCCCCACCTTCCTCATGGAACTTTGTATGTAGATGTTGTTAAAACTAAGGTCAGTTCCATGATGGAAGAATAGTAATGGTGTTGTTTATATACTTAAGCTGCACTAGTAATGATTGGGAGATGCAAAATTGTAGAAAATGAAACTTTTCGGATTATTCCCATTTACCACTCTATTTGTATCAATGCCAATTTTCGCAGAATAAAGAGAGGTAAGAATTGAATTTATTGATTTATGTAGGTTTTGTTTGGTTGTTGACGACTATTAGTATTGTTACTAAATTTTGGATTTGTTAACAGATTTACTGTGGAAAAGTTTGATGGACGCTTGTTTTATTAGTCTTACATTTTCGATGATTACAAAAAATAAAATGAAAGAAACTGAGTAGTGCTTGGATTCTCTATATGTCATTTTTGTTCTGGAAATATGGTACAAATTCTGCTAGTGAAGATGATGGAATTGAGAAGTTTGATTCCACTGTGTGTTGACTATGAAGACGATGGAATCAAGTTAATTAATGTACTCGATGCTTAGATAAACCCATTTCATTTGGAAAGACATTGATCCCTTTCGTTAAAATCATTGTTGTAAAGGATGTTCACTGTGAAACTTAGAAATTTCGTCATATAGGTCCATATGCCATATTTTGAGAACTGGATGGAGCATTTTTGTGAACTACAACAAGCTTGTTGTAGTGAATTGTTGAAAGCGGAAAATGATGATCTTTGTGTTGGGATCCTGCGGATGCAAAAGGGAATTGAAGATGTATCTCGGGTTGGAATCCAATGGGCAAAGTAGAGGAATTGGAAGTGGACCTTATTCGTCATCTGGTGGAATGTTGCTAGTGAGAATTGTGTCAGGTTATCATCAAAAATGTCAAAGATAGTATTGCAATTTAATTCAAAATGCTATGAAATATTAGTTATAATGTGATATTAGAGGAAACTGTTGACTTATGAATGATACATAGGATTTGGACCTACTGTTTATAATGATTTGGTTAGAGAATTTAATAAAACTAAAACAACCCAATACATTGAAAAAATAGTGAGAGCAGTTTGAAGGGTTAGCTGATTGAGTAGATGTTGAATTGTTTCAACCAACCAATATATGTTAGGGTATTGGATTGACATTGTTTTAGGAATTGTGTACAGATGCAATAACCAAACTGTACAAATTGAAGTAAATTTTTGTAAGTTTTACCAAATAAGGGAGAAAGGGTTATGCCTACAATTGTGATGAGAAGAATGCAAGAAAATAAAGATACAAGAAAAAAAGAAGAAGCGGTATTTAGTTGAGAGTGAAGAAGATGAAAATGGAATTTAATAAAAAGTTAAAAGCAACTATAGGGGAAGAGGATGAAGATGGGCAATGTGAAAAATTCACATAAGAAGACATGCACATTTTGTGAATGTTGCATAAGACCCACAATCCTTTTATTTATTTTTTTATAGCTTTTCACAAATTTATTTTTTATAGATTTTCTTCACAATTATTACAATAGTATTTGAAATCAAGATGCAGCTTACACGTCACAGTCTCACTATGATAACATACATAAATGAATCCGAAACTCTGGGAGACAAATTGAAAAGAAAGCATGACAATTTGAACAGTTTTTTAGCATTTTCATTTAATTGATGCTGAGCTTTGCATCTTGAGGTCGAAGTTGAGTGAAATAAGGATCTTGAAGAGTGAGTTCAAGCAGATCAAGATCATGTTCATATGAATCGCGGTATGTCTCTAAGTTGACATAGGAATTTATAATAGCTGAAAGGGATAACTCTTTCCTCCACTCTTCTAAATGTGGGAATCCAGTGTGATCTGCATACTCATCAGAATACTGCCACAAAAAATGTATATATCAGGCTAGGTTTTTTCATATTTGCCCAAGTTGGCATTTAGATGTGTCATTGGGTGGTCATATCTCAATTGCTCAAAATTTTAGACAAAATGGTTTGGACGTGAGAATTTTTGGCAATTCTGGTTGGAGCTTTGGGAAAATTGCTGTGTTTTAGTATTTTAAATTTTTTGTCAAAATTTCAAAACATTATAGTTGAATTTCATCAAGATAATAAGGCTATGTTTGAATATTGCATTTGTAGAGAAATTTGTAAAAGAAAAATAAGAAATAGAAAGGGATTAGTATCAATACTTTTTCCTTTTTCATTTCTGTTTGCTCTATAAAATATTTATTATTGATTGTGGTCAAATCTAATTTTGTTAATAGTGACCTGTCGATTATCACCATATCTAGTCTCGTTGATTGTGACCTGTCAATTATGGTCTATGATCGAGACTACAAATCATGTGATTCTAAAGCATAGGTGGGTTGTATAAATTTCGTGGCTCTTGAAGAACTGCTTCCAGCAATTGTTTGGAATGAATAACTGTTTGAATATAAGCTTACAAATAGGCTAAAAGTGGAGATCATCAGGGCATCAACCAACAACAAACAAAATGATTAGATCAATTTTATGTTTTTCTTCTTTATCTTAGGAGTAGTTTTCAAATAGTTATGAATTGTAGTTGTGATGACAACTTTAATTTAGGAGCATGAGTAGTTTTAAGGTAATTTGCTTCTCTAAAATTGTAATCATCTTGTACTCATCAAGGTATTACAGTTATGCTCTTATGGTGATTGTTTTCAATTCAATTACATAATTCTTCTTTCTTTCTTTTATTTTTCTTGGCAATCGTTTAATTTTGATTGATTTGTGAAATTTGCATTACGGCCATGTCGATTGAGAAGCAAATTTTGCTAACAATTTCTTTTCATTTCACAAATCTAAACCAATTGGTAAAAGATCATATTTGAAGATGACATGAAAATTCAACCACCCTCTTGCAAAATTCTCATGCCCAAACTATAATTGCAGGTTTGATTTTAAATCTTCAAACTTTTACTAAAATTTGAAACATTTTTTTTGTTGGTGAATTACGCTACTGCTAATAATCATGCAAAGATAATGAGTGTGAGAGTAGTTTCTAGGGACAATTACACGGACACTGTATTAGTGAAAAAGTTTATAATTTTAATTATTAATATTTATAATGTTTCTTATCTTTTTGTAATTAATTTTTCCTGATATCACTGTCAGGTTATTTCCCTAGTTTTTATTTGGATAAATTATAATAACCTTCCCTAAAGTATTTAAAAATACAACGTATCCCACAATTTTAGTATAATTACATTGGGTTCCCTTAAGGCTTTAATTCACATTATATCATTTTTCATAAATAATTCGTTAGTCATATAGACAAAAAAAAATTTAAAAAAAAAAGAAAGAAAAAAAGAAAGAAAAGATGATGCCATTATATTTACACTAAAATTTATATTTTTTCTTATTTTTATTTTTGTGTCATCATGCCATCCACATTAGTTTCCGTTTATTTAGTTTTAGTAAAAGGAAGGTAAATGTAATTACTCCAAAACAGTGAGATTATTGTATTTCCACCAAACCTCAATGGAGGGCAGTCTGATATATTGGGCAAATTACACTGGCCTCCCCTAAGGTTTAAAAAAATATAATAAATTCTACAAGTTTGACATAATTACATTGGACTTCCTTGATGTTTTAATTCACATAACACTTAGTTCATTTTTCATCAACAATATTTTACTCAGATAGAAGGAAATAACATTGTTACATCTTTTATACTGAAATATACACTTTGTTTTGTTTATCTTTGTATTTTCACAATATTTACTTTAGTTTTGGTTATGTTAACTATATTAAAAGGAAGGCCAGTGTAATTATATTAAAATTATTTATATATATATTTTTTCAAACATCCAGAAAGGTCGATATAATTTATATATTGAATTATGTTTACCTCAAAGTTTCCAATATCATGAGTTCTGTACTTAGGAATGCCATCAACATTCCTCTGGTGATAAAACTCCATAATGGAATGCATCATTACATCCCTTGATGGCAATGTTCTCTTCCCAGACAGCAGCTCAGCTATCCATTTCCCTTGTGACTCAAAGAAAGGGAGGCCTACTACCTAAACTCATTCAAACATAAAAATATAATAAATAAGTTCTAGTCGGAAATTTAAGTTGTGCTTAAATCTTGAATTTAAGAAGATATTTGTAGGGAGAAAAATAAAAGATAAGAGAAACTTGACTTATATATATATATATATATATTTTTTTTTTTTTTTCACAATTCCTTTTCCTTTGTCTTTTTACCCCCACAAATTCCTTTCTAAATCTAAGATCCAAGCACAATCTTAGAAGAAATGGGAGAAAAAAAAAGAAGTAAATTATAAAAATTCCACAACAAACTATGTTTAGTGGGTTTTTATTGATATATATTGTGTGACCCAAAACAAAGTATTCAGCAAAATACCAAAAAAATGAATCTATGACATTGATTTAAACTTGGTGTTATGTCAATCACAAAATGAATTTCATCTACATATTTCAAATTGTGAGAGTATCTACATATTTCAAATTGTGAGAGTATATTTAGTTTCAAAAAACTATTGTTTGTGTGTTTTTGTCTTTACTAATTTTTTTTTGGAAGATTTTTTGACATATATTTTATTTTTAGATGCATCAAAGTAAAAATAAAAGATGATCAAAATATTTTTTAAAAAATCACTAAAGACAAAAAAAAAAAAAAAAAAACAAAATTAAGCCAAAGAAAGGTATTAATTACCCTTCTAGGAATGCCCACAAAAGAGAGAGAAGGAGCAAGGGGGGGAGGGAAGGTGTGCTCAGACAAATGTTCCACCCTGTTACCATGCACTTCCACTATTCCTTTTGTGTCAAGAAATGGGAATGAATATGAATACCTGCAAATAACCCACATGGATTTAGAATGATCACAAATTTCCATATGATCTAGGGTTTATTACTCTTCTATGAGAAGGGTACAAGAACAAGTTCTTATAGGGATGACTCTTTATGAATTATATGTGGAAAAAAGAGAAAATTATTATTCAAAAAAGGGGTTTATTACACTATACACCTAAATTATCGTCAAATTGTCTATGTGGTTCCTGAACTATCGATTGTGTCTTTTAAATCCCTTAAGTGTATAAATCAAAATCTATTTAGTCCCTAAACTATCAATTGAATCTATTAAGTTCTTAAAATATTTAATTCAAATTTATTTAATCCTTGAAAGGATTACTAAAATAAAATATATGCCTATAGGTATTATTAATTAGTAAAATTCCCTACCTAATTAAGATTTTATTACAGAAAAATCTTAAATTTTTATTTTGTTTTTAAAAAATGTTTTATTTCATTGTGTATTTAAATTAGTATTAGAGTCTGATTTGTCAGTATTGTCAATAAAATTATATAAGTATTAGATATATTGAAGAAATAGAATTAGATAATTTAAATAATAACATTTTATTACAAAAAATTATAGAACAAAATAATACATTAACTAAGTTATAAAAGAACTTAGCCGAAAACTTTAAAAAAAAATTAATGAAAAATTATAAACAAAATCTGACATATAATATTCGATAGAAGCAAGTACGTAGCCATTGTGGAATATAAGTAAAAAAATATTAAAGATAATTACCCTTACCTTTATAAAGGAAATCCACCAGAGGAATTGCCGCTCACTTTTCAACAAATTTAAAAAAAAAATAAAATAGAATAGATAATAAAATGTGGACACGTATTTGAATAGATAAGGGGAAAAAATTGAACAAATAGTCAATATTTGAACAGATAAAAAAAAAATTGAACAAATAGTCAAAAAAATTAAATAGATAAAAAAAAATAGTCAACAGACAAATTAAAGAGGCCAAATTGGAAATAAAATGTCTTCCAAAACTAATAAAAGGATTTCTCACCAAACTAGTTTACAAGTGGTGAATCTCTCACCAACAAAAAATATCTATAAACCTAATGCCTTGCACCTTGTTTAGATGGGATATATCATCAATTTTCTCATGATGACATAATATTCCTCAAAATCACATCTGACATCATGGCACCACTTGGTAAATTTTTACACCCACTTGACAAATAATTGGCAAATTTTTGACAAAACACTTTGCATCACTTGGTAAATTTTGGCACCCACTTGGTAAAACTTGGCACCATTTAATACACTTGGCAAAATCCTAGCAAAACTTGGCACCACTTAGCACATTTCAGCAAACACTTAGCGAAATCCTAGTAAAACTTGGCATCCCTTAATACATCTTGGCAAGTTTGGAATCACTTGGTATAACTTGACATCTAAATTCTCGCGTCTCGCCAATGCAAGCATGGAATAGTATTTAAATCCCCATGTCTTGCTGATGCAAGCGTAGAATAGTCTTTAAACCCCCATGTCTTGTCTATGCATGTATGAACTATGTTAGAAATCCAGCTTAAAATAAAATGCATAGAAATGCCTAATGCAACACATGCAAAATGCAACTATAGCAGGCTCGGCTATTCTAAACATGGCATATGGAATGCTACAACTAACATGTATTCAATTTGGAATTGAAATACTATGCAGTTAGTATGATGCGCCGAGCCCGGTGCATGCAAAATAGATGAATGATGCAAACATGCTGTCGTACTGTATGCTAATTTAAATATGCCCTAATCTAACCATCATAAGCAGGTAAATAAAAGGGAGAAAGACGTGGGGTTGGAAGACAAACAACACACACACGCACACTTATTACAGTTGTGCCCTCGCAGAGGGTCCGAATAAATATACAGTCCCGAATGAAAGAATATTACAGTCCCGAATAAAAGAATATTACAGTCCAAAATATTACAAAATCCTAATTAATTAACAAATTAACTGAGAAAGCTGTAAAACTGGCGTGCAAGCCAGGGACTGCCTTGTTCCTGATGAATGATGCATGTCTGGATTGCCTTGCGCGGAAACCCACTAGGATGCCCCAATTAGCCTCTGTTTAGCAGTTATTCTTGAAACGCGTGCCAAGTCCCAAAAAGTTGTTGATTCTTCATTTTGCTGCAACAGAGAGCAGGAAAGGGGCATAGCAATGTATTTTCACAGCTATATGCATGCCTCGATCCTCGTGCCACCAATCACGCATATCGATGCATGATGGCAGAGGAGTCGAAATGTGCAATTCAATATGGAATGAATGCACGTATAAACACAACAAAACCTAGCTCCATCATGGGTAATCCGGAGTATCGGTGACTAGGGAATTGAGACACGTCTCGTCACTCGGAGTACGAAACGCACCTCGTTTCCCGTGCCCGGGGGCTAACTCCTATCCCGGACACGATGCAATATGCATGATATGTATGAATGCAACTAAGATACAGCCTAGTATGCACAATGCTGTAAAAAAAGAGATGCCTCGAAATGCGTGCACACGGGCACGCAAACCGAGGCAATGACATATGCAATGCAATGGCATGGAAATGGCATATAGAATGTAACATGGACTTATACTAACATGAGAGAGCCTCAGCCACACTCACATAAGAGGCCGATGAGTGAAAACGAAGTGCCTCGAAATGCGTGCACACGGGCACGCAAACCGAGGCAATGGTAGAATGCGATGCGATGACATGAAAACATGATATGGGCTTATACCAACATGAGTGAGCCTCAGCCACACTCATATAGGATGCCGGCGGATAAAAATGAAGTGCCTCGAAATGCGTGCACACGGGCACGCAAACCGAGGCAATGCTAGAATGCGATGCAATGACATGAAAACATGATATGGGCTTATACCAACATGAGAGAGCCTCAGCCACACTCACATAGGATGCCGGCGGATAAAAATGTAGTGCCTCGAAATGCGTGCACACGGGCACGCAAACCGAGGCAATGCTAGAATGCGATGCAATGACATAGGAATGGAAAGAAATCATTCTAATGGAATTTCAGCACTAAAAAATGGGGGAAAACAGTCCCGAAATGAGGCGAAATGACACGAAATGCATGAAATGGTCCCGAAATGTGAATTTAGGCACCCGAAATGGCCTATAGCTATGCCAAACATGCACAATATGGACATGAAATGCAAAGACAGAAGCTAGGCAGTCCCAAAAAGGGCACTTTCACAGTTATAAGCATGGCCAAACAGCAAGCATAAGTTGGGAAAAAATGGCAGCAAGAATAGGGGCCAAGAGAGGGGTAATGAAGCAAGTGGTATAAGCAAAATCCAAACTGAAAAACTTCCTTCTACAACATTGAAGAGGGACCAAAAATATGAATGTTTACAGTATGTGGTAAGTCTCGAATCAATATACAAACATGCTAAAAAAAAGGCACAAGATTGAGGCTCAAAAGGTACTATAACATGAAGTATACAAAATAATCACCAAACAGAAAAAAAATGTTAATGAAACATGAAGTATAGGCCAAAATAAGGCCACTTTCAGTTCGGACCAAGGTCCAAAAACAGAAGCAAAGAAG